GAAAGTGTGAAGGCAAGAGGAGAAGGGGACGACAGAGGATGAGATGGTTGGACAGTGACATTGAAGTGACCAACAGGAATTTGACCCAACTCTGGGAGGCAGTGAAAGACAGGAGGGCCTGGCGTGCTCTGATCCATGGGGTCACGAAAAGCCAGACACGGCTTAACAACTAAGCAATAACAACAAAGATGTGACAATTTGAAAAAAAAAAAACATAAACACACATACAGTTTGGAGAGAGAGCAATGGCTATTTGAAAAAAGAACACAAACACACATACAGTTTGGAGAGAGAGCAAGCACATTTTTGCGCTAGAATATTTAAAAAATAAGAGGCGGAGAGGCAAAATTGAGGCTGTGTAGCAATCCTCCTCCTCCGCAGAAAGACAACAGTTCCTACCATCTGACAGAGCGGAGCCAAGGCCCTTTATAAAAAGGCCTAGTAAAACATACGGTATAATGAACATATTGTAATGAGTGTAAGGGCTATGAACCACCACTGATGTTGCAGGCTGCCAGGCTGCCTACTGTACACCCCTTCTGCTCTGAATTTCTGGCACATTTGGAGATGAAGGCAGCACACAAATCCTTATGAGTAGCATAGTGTTTACTGGATTTAAGAGTAAATTACTTCATTTCCTCTGCCCAACTGGACTGCCTTGGAACTTCCTCGCTTCCTTGGCAACACTGACAATGAAGTTCTCTGTCATCCGTAGATGTAAAAAGCCAGAACTTCTGTAACCAGGAGACAAATCTTTGCTGGAGGGACCCATGGGTTTCAGGCAGGACATTAAGCTCCGCGTTTATTATTGCTTTATAAGCCGCACTGTTGTTTCGAAATGGGCCAAACCCGGGAAGCTATTGCAACGGAGTTGACAAAACTAGCATCCACTCAATCCGAAAGGGCACTGCCTGTTGGAGGAATTAAAATCATACCCATGCCAGCAACTGCTGGGTGACTCCATCCAAAATTAAGATTCCTTTGCCTCAAGAAATCCACTTCACAGCAGAGATTCTCAGACATGTGTATCTTATATTCTAACAATCACCATTTGCTCAAGGAATCTGAGTTCCATCATGACAGAAACAGTGGTTTAAGTATACAGCTGAGGGAACTCTGGGGGTTCAATCCCCCACTATGTCTCCTGGTGAGAAGAGTCAGCTTATATGGCCTCGGGCAAAATCCCAGGGCGCAACCAGAAGAAGGGAATGGCAAACCATATCTCAGTACTGTACTCTCTACCTGGAAAATCCTGAAAATGATACATCAGAATTGACTTGATGGCACATGAGGATGATTAAGGATATATAAGTCAAATAAGTTGACTTCTTTGTGTTGGGAGAAAACACAAAGAAGCTAAACTGAACATTCAATTCATTGAGCATAAATTATGCCACTGTGCTCATTCTAAGACATAAAGAAAATAAGTAAAAAAAAAAAACCTGCACGTCATACTTACAGAAGGGCATGAGAACTGAGGGAGAGCGAATTCTTAATAATTGTTCTAAAAATGTGATACAGTGGTGCCTTGATGTACGAAAACGTCCCGACATACGACCATTTCGAGTTATGACCAGCTCCGGCCGCAAACTTTTGCTTTGACTTGCGGCCGGAGCTTCCAGTTACGAACAGAAAAAGGCAAGGAAAACAGGCGGGGAATTCAAATTGCTAACTGTTGGTAGGCGAAGAGGCTGCTTCTTTGTAGCTCTTTCGCCCCAACTATTAGAGTGAGTGTGATTGGAGGAGGCTTGGGACTGCCTGGTAAAGTAAGGTGCTGCTTTCTGCTTTTTAAAAACTGTTCTGGATGGGTTTTGCAGCGTCGTTTTGGGCTGGGTGGTGGGATTATGTTTCTATGCTGTGGTGGGTCTTGCAGGGTTTGTTTGTTTTTTGTTTCCCCGCCCCATTTCCAATGGGTCTTGTGGGATCTGTTTGCTTTTTGGCCCCCCCATTTCTGATGGGTCTTGCGGGGTTTGTTTGCTTTTTTGGGTTTTTTCCATTTCCAATGGGTCTTGGGGTGTTTTTTTGCTTTTTGGTTCCCCCCCATTTCTGATGGGTCTTGCGGGGTTTGTTTACATTTTGGGTTCCCCCTCCCCATTTCTGATGAGTCTCATGGGGTCTGTTTGCTTTTTGCTTTGCTTTTTTTGAATTTCCAAAGGCTTTTTTTTTTTTTCATTTCCGATGGGTCTTGCACGGTTTGTTTGCTTTTCTCCCCCCCCCCCTTTTGGCTGGAACGGATTAATCGCATTTCCGATGGGCCTTGCAGTGGTTTTTTTTTTTGGTGGATATTTTGGGGTGGTTTTTTTCCTTCGGCCGGAACAGATTAATTGCTTTTCAGTGCATTCCTATGGGAAATGGTGCTTTGACTTACGACCATTTCAAGTTACGACCTGAGTTCCGGAACCACTTAAGTTCACAAGTCAAGGCGCCACTATACCCTCCTCAGCTATTCTTACGTCTCCTTGGTGATGTGGGTACCCACGCTAGAGAGCTTTATGTTTTGATTCCTCCCCTGTACTAGTTTAAAGCCTTTCTCTTCCTTCTTCACTGTCCAGGGGCCACCTTCTACTACCCCAAATCTTCATCTTAGTGGCAACAACTACTAAGAGTTATGCATGCTCTCACAAACCTTCCTCCATATGCTCAAGATACCATATTTTCACCTCCTATACTTAAACAAGCCTGGTTATAGGTCCTAGTCTGGAATTTCCTATGAGTATATGGAACCAACCATAACCAATAAGCTCATCTGTAGCAAGACGGTTACAATCACCCTCATTATACTAGAATGCAGTTGGACAGTGCTATCTGCACTTTCTTGAATATTCTAGGCAATTCACAAATCAATGAGCTAACTGTTCTTCACCCTTTCCTCTTTCCTCCCATCTTGGCTCTCTCTTAGAGTGATGTCACTTTTACTCTACAATCTCGTCTCATGGTGTGTGAGGAAGAATGTCCTGTTGCACGTTCATGGCTAATGATCAGAAAATACAAAATACAGTATAGAACAATACTGGGGGATTTGTGCATCTGTACATGCCTCAGATATACTCTCCTCCCCATCAGATTTTTGTTCCTAAAGTCCACGCTTGCATCTGAAGTAATACTGCAGAGGTTGCTAAGATCACAGGTCGAGTTAATATCCATATCAAAAGATGTTCCATTTTGAAAGCAATCTGTAGGATAAGGAAATCTGATTATTCCCTTTTATGACTGGCTAAATAAAGAAAGATGGTGGTACTTTCAAGAATTCCTAAATGAGGAAGTACAGTTACATGGAGTGTCTCATAAAACAAGAGCTTTCAAGAATTCCTAAATTCCTAAATGAGGAAGCAGTTACATGGAGTGTCTCATAAAACAAGAAGTGCTGGCAAAATACATGAATGAATGTGCACAAATATGCATGCTATAAGGGAAATCTGTACAAAATGCATATCTTAAGGGAAAATGAGCAAAAACATACATTTTATCAGAAAAAAAATCACTTGCAAAAATGTGTACATGTTGAAAAAAG